ACCCATCTGCCATTTATTTACCCAACTATCTAAATCAGCAGCATCCTCTTCACAGTTAGCAGCACCCAAGACCTTAATATTCTCTGCAAATTTAAGTAATTTATTGCCTATTCCTTCATCTATGTCATTAATGTAAATCAAAAAGAGCAAAAGTCCTAAGACTGAGCCCTGAGGTACCCCACTTCTGACATTAATCCACTTTGACTGAACTCCATTTTTAACAACCCTCTGCTTTCTTCCATACAGCCACTCTTCTATCCAATTTGCTAACTTATCCACCACACCTATAGATAATTTTTTACAAGCCTTTTATGCAACACCTTGTCAAATGCTTTCTGAAAATCTAGATACACCAAATCTACACCCTTACCCTCACCTTTATAAGCAGTAACCTTTTCAACAAATTTGTAAGACAAGATTTTCCCTTAGTGAAACCATATTGACTATCCAATAAAACTCTAAACTTTGTTAAATGACTTTGCAAAATATCTTTTAACATACTTTCCAAAACTTTTCCCACAACTGAAGTAAGACTAATGGATCTATAATTACTGGGACAATTTTGGTACCTGCCTACTATTCAAGAACTTGACAAAAAATAGCAGTAAGAAGCTCACATATCCAATCTTTAATCTCTTTCAAAACCCTTGGGGAAATATTATCCGGCCCAGGAGCCTCATCGTTTTTTTAAGCTTCCCAATTTTTTTCTTAACCAGCTCAGAATTAATGCAGTCATCCTGTTTGATCTTGTTTCCACTTATCAACTGTTCAAGATGTGGAATACTGCTTAAATCTTTGTCAGTAAAAACCGAAGGAAAAGCAAAATTTAATAACCCAGCCATCTCATAATCATCAGGTACTAGCCTTCCTTTATCATCCCTCTAGAATCCTACCTAACATTTTCTTTACCCTTAATACCTTTAAAGAAATCCTTACTGTTAATTTTTACATCCTTTTTGATGTCCTAATTTCCTGTTTCACCAACTTTCTTATCTTCTATAATCTTCTAAATTTTAAATTTCTTAAATTTATGATTTTTATTTATTATTTTTAACTTTATTATTTTTAACTTATAGCTATCCTTTTCTTTCTATAAGAAATGTGCTTACCTTGAATATTTAAAAAATTTCCAAATCTGATCAGTGTCTCCAAATAACTCAGCTGCCCAATTCACAAAAGATAATTCTTGTTGCTTCCCTTTACTTTTTTGAAATTTGTAACCAAAATATCATTATTCCTTATCTCCCTATGCAGCAAAACATTGAATCTAATAGAGCAATGATCATTTGCACCCAGATGTTCCGCAATTTCCACCCACTCAATCATTTCTATATTTGAGGTTAACAATAAATCTAAAAATAGCATTGTTTCTAGTAGGTTCCTTGACTAATTGGTGAAGAAAGCCATCCTGAACAGTTTCCTAAAAAACCTTTCTCCATCATGGTTTGACTCTAGAATTTTCCAATCTATATGCCTAAAATTAAAATCACCCATAATTATGACATCATAAACAGCTGAAATCTTAATCTCATTGTAAAGTTTCTCACTAATTTCATCAGTATAATTTTGGTGGTCTGTAACAAATTCCCACTAAAAGCCTTTTCCCTTTATATCCACTAATAAAAACTCGATTGGATTCAATCTCCTTGCTAATATCTTATCAGTTGAGACATTTACTAACAACTTCAGGAATACCTTGACTGTTTAGGCATTAACTAACAACTTCAGGAGTACCTTTACAGTTGAAACATTTACTAACAACTTCAGGTGTACCTTGACAGTTGAAACATTTACTAACAACTTCAGGTGTACCTTGACTGTTGAGGCATTAACTAACA